CTTTCATAGCCAGTTAATTAACAAACTTATCGTTTTATCTTGTGGGCGTATTGTGTGCGTTTGCGCGTATAAAACGAGATTTACCGGATCACGCAGTATGCCGATCGACATCTATATTATTATATTTTATACTCCTGCTGCAGTCGCTGCAGACATCGCGCACATATGCGACGCAATGGTGATAATAATAATTATTTGTTATTTAAATCCAGTACCGACAGATAAGCTTAACGTCAAAACCGAATCGTATAACACATACACTATAATAATATACCTACCTATACCGAGTAGGTATATTATGAAATCTGTAGACCCGAAAATTTGAGGTTTACAATACGATTATTATTATTATATAACCGGTACGGTATATTTTACGCGATGTTCGTTTACGTTTGAAATGCCTACACCACCGTGATGTATAAATAGATTAGAAGACCCGTCAGATTATTTCAAAATATATATTACGTTTGGAAAATGCTAATAGTAACTTAGTCATATTAAGACACTTTCCATTGACAGTAGTTTTTGTTTTTTTGTTATAATCGTTTTATGTGTATGTTACATTATTATGGTGTATGCGGTTTACATTTTCATATTTTATCGACTAAGTATAGTATATTATTAAATCGCAATCAGGGAAATAAACATGCAGTTTTGGGCTGTTTTTTTTTACCCCCTCAATTAAGAAATTTTGGCTACGCCACTGTATTGAAAGTACAAAAATTGCATATATCTTAGAAATTTTAAAGTAAAGAGCTGTTAGTTGTCTACCTATACAATTTACTCATGTGTAGGATATGTAAACATATTCTAAACCTACCCCTTGTCCTTGCAGTCAACCTATGTTTACGTTTGAAATTAGGCCAACTAGGGAATTGATATTAATTATTGCCCTAACAACCGCAACGTCCATGGGTTATTTCGACGAGAGATATACAAGTACTAGTAAATTAATTTGTTTTTCAGCATTCTATTTGTGTACGTGTCATTTATTATCATTTAATATTTGATACTATTTTTAAACTATACACCGTGTATATTCATGTAGGTCATTATCTCACAATGTGCATTTTGTATAGCTAATTCGGACGAATACTAAGCTATCGATTTTGTTACAGAACATATAGTATATATTTCATAGTTTTGCAATCGTAAACGAGCTAATACAATTTTTGCTGCAATTTTAAGTACATTTATTACATATTATTTTATTTCGTCGATACCTAATACTATAATATTACATCTATACAAGTTTTCGTGGAAATATTTGCACGCGCGTACGTTGTATATTTATTTGATTTTTACATATTTTTTTGTATACGATAAACAGATATAAATAAAATCGTTTTAATTCCTTCGATCACCCCGATGTTTACACATCAACCGTATAAAAAAATTTCATCGAAAAATATCCATCCGTATAAATGGATGATTCTGTGTTTATTCCAAAACGAATACATTAAAAAATAAAGATACGCAATTTACATAATTATCGCTAAAAGAGTAAAATATTATAATAAATATTATTGCGATGTGCCTGTAGTGCACTTAATATCAATCAAAATATCAAATGGACTTTAATGTACAAAATGTATTTAAAAGCTGTGAATGTCATTGTTTATGTATACCAAAAAAAGACGAACATATAACATAACACGATAGGTGGGCCACTATTGTATGTGAGAAGTTAGAAATTTAGGACATAAAGGAGAATTTAATTTATAGTTGTGAGCAACAATAAACCATTTAAATGATTTTGAGCGAAGTTTCTTTTATACATATACGTACAAAATTGCAATATACATTTATAATATATTAGACACCATCAGTAGACAACTGATGAAGGTGGTAATTCAGAAAATTTAATAACACACATAGCATGATAATATTTTAGATTCTGAGTGGAGCGAAGAAGCGTATGATTTAACAAAGATATATATTCATTTTATATTTTTTATCTGCGCGCAACTTTTTTACCAGAAATCCTGCTTCGATTTTTAATTGTAGCACCTTTTCTGAGTTTCTAGTTTGTTTTTTATATCAGTAAGTATAACCTTTATTGAACTTTGTGTTAAATTGTCAAGCTCTTCTCTTAAGTCATATAATTTGAATATCAGATACCTACCAAATAAAAATTCATTTAAATATACTGAAATATGAAGAATTTTAAACAAATATTTAAAACAATATTTTTGGTAGTGTGAGGTAAATATTTGATGTTTTCCTTATAATTTTATTACCGTTTTTTTTTTCAATTATTTAAAAACCTCTTAGAGAATGAAGAAATAACTTTTTTACTGCACCAACTAGATTTAAAATGCAACAATAAAGTTCTCTTGTCAGTTTTCTATTAGAGCAAGTTTTCTGTTAAAAAAGTTACTAAGAAAAAAAACACAAATAGTAAAATAAACCCTTTCCGCTCCGAATCTAAGAACAATTTCTCCATTCAATGTTTTAATATTAAGGACGTTCCTATACTAAAAAAATTACATACATTTTTATTTGGTTAAATCGCATTGAATTACGTTTTCAACAACTTTTTGAATGCCTAGAACACAGAAGAAAATTATAACTCTTAAGAGCACCGAAAACTGATATAATTATCTCCAAAATATAAATAGAAGACTGTATTCATTAAAAACTGTTAACTAAAAATAACTAAAACTAAAAACAATATTTTGAATGTTTATTACATGTAGAAATATAACCACATTAAAACAAACAACACGAAACATGTAACATATACAAATTTAAATAATTGTCTCATTGAAAACCATGATTTCGAATTCGCGGGTTCCGTCGCACTGTTATCATCATCTTTTTCTTGTTTGCAGACAATCGCAAATGCATTCACTGCAGTTTCCGGTATATACGAATCTAGACTGTGTAACTATGAGACAAATTATATTATAATAATATCTATAAACAAACGTAATATTCTTTTATATTAATTTTTTTTTTTTTTTTAGATACTATTGTATTTATCGAAATAAAAATAACAGAAAAAAAACAGTTTTAACATGAAACATAAAAAAATGTATACCTCTCACGGATAGATCACTTGTAATTAAAAAGGTAGGATAATATACAAAATAATATAATTTATACGGCATGTGCCAAAAGCGATCAATCAATCAGTCGATCTCCACTAACCGTTACATCCGACGATTTTTGTTATCGATCTCTTTTTGTTAGAATTTATTATTATACAATTAGTGATTTATTTGTAAATTATTTAATGATAAATCACAATAACCCCTTATTTTTATCTTAGTAAATTCATATTTTATTGTCAGTTTATCGAGTAATAGAGATTAATATGTTTACTGGAAATTGTATTTACGGTATTGGTATATTAATGTTTTAAGTGTCATGAAAAACATTATTACATTATATATTTTAGTTTTATTAATTGTACATATATATGTTTATTTTTTATAAATTGTTTTTATCAAGTCGATCTTTATAGGAAAAATACAATCTTAGTAGATCTCGATAAAAAAAATATTGGCTGTCTTTTATGTATACTGTATAGTGAATATGTAACAGTAAAAAATCGTTCTGAGTGGAGAAAGTTAGGTTAGGTTAGGTAACCTAACCTAACTATTCATTATTTTTCCCTTTTTTCCCATACAAATATCAACAAAAAAACAAATAAAAAAAGGACCTACAATATAAACTGCTGAAATGTTTCAAAATAAAATATTAGGCGATAAAGATATGAAATAAAAAAAATCAAAGCATTTTTTACTAATCTTAAAAGTGTGTTCCACCAAAAAAACATATTATATTATCTAAACATATAGTGTCTATAACGTTTTGAAAAAAATGTTATAGAAATAAAAAGAAAATAATACTGTTGATCGGTGTGTCATTTTAATTTAATTTATATCTGTACACAACGATAGGCACACAACGATAAAAATTACTAATAAAAACAATTCTGACTTGGATACTTTTAATCGTTTTTCTCCCCGTGTAGCCATGCCAATGAAATTCCCAGAATTTAATACAAATTATTAGTTTTTCCCATTCAATAAAATAACTATAAAAAACTTAACCATGATCCCCATTCTCCAATGTTGTAACTATATTAAGAAAATTTGTTTACAGCAGACACAAAAAACACACACACATATGCATCATTTATTTATTTTCCGGAATTGTTTTCAAGGGAAAAAAGGAGTTTGTTTTAAGGAAATCTTTTTCTTTTTGATATTTCGATCCCTAAAATTTACTATCCACGCGTTAGAATACAATGTTAAAATTTAATTGATATGGATTTTTTGGGTTACTTACCGGTTACCCTCAGCAAATAGTTTCGGCATTAAAAAAATATGCCAATTGTCCTTAACAAAATGTACCCTCAACGAATAAAATAGCGCATATAAATAGGAAAACTTTACTTTAATAAAAAGTAATAATCCTCACCTCTAACTCTAACCCTCACTTTTACTCTAACCTAACCTAACAAGTGCATTCTTTAATATAATAGTGTTAACGAAAAATAAGGTCACCGATCGCGCATATTATCTAAAAAAAAAAAACGAACATTTCATAAACAAATAGAAAAATAGAAATAAAAAATTAGTAAACTAAAAAATATTAAAACTGTTATTATATAATACAAAGAATTTATAATTTTTTTTTTTTTTTTGAACAAATTACAATGTAATTGCATAGCAATTATTAATATTGAAAATATTATATTTATAATTTTATTAGACGTATTTTAATTTATTTTTTATTATTTTTTTCGTTGCATATTTATGCCAGGTGTGGTATTATTTTTATTTGGATAATATGTTGAGGGCATCTGGTACATTACATTGAGGGCAATTGGTACATTAAGTTGACGGCAACTGGTGCATTTTACTTTAAGTAGTTTAAGGGGAATAAGTATAAAAAGGTACTTTTGAGGGCAACTGTACATACCCGTTTTTTGCGGTATTTTTCGCATATAATAAAAACAAACAACAAACGGAATATCCGTAAGAAATCTAGGTTACCAATAAATTCTGATCGTCTGGATCCGATATTAACGTCACCACCACGCCGTCAACGTCTATATCCATACGCGTCCCATCATGTTCAGCCGGTAGGCACGTCGGAACGTCCTTACTGGATGGATTTATTGTGTTGGACTTGTCGTTGCCAAAATCGCGAATGGCCCTGAAGATACCAGCATTCTTCGTCAACGATTGAATCCTATTGGAAATGTCATTGGAAATCTACGAAAGTAAAAATGTCCGAAATTCAAGCGTGGGCCCCTGTATATAAAAATTAAAATCTTATACAATTCCCGGCTACTTCGAGCTGTTGTGGATTATCTAGAAAAATATTATCCGAATAAAGCGTTTATCGTGGAGCATGGTATTGAAAGTTTTGGAAGATCTCTATACTATAACCGCAAAGCCGATCACAGATATTTAGAACCTATATTTTACTCCGCTCTGAATCTAAAAAAAAAAACTTTGGACTCTATGTCTCGCGACCATCTTCCTACCTTTTACTCATGACATAATATTATGCGTCAATCTAATAAAACTGCGAAACAACCCAAATACGAGGATTACCGTCACTTTCCGTTTCGAGGCCGACGACGGTCCTCCTTTTGTGGAATCGAATAATATCGATTTTTCGACACCGTCACTGACAAGACTGCTGCTCGTCACTCCAAATGATTTCTGTTCTTGAGACGTTTTCGTCAGCTCCTCCCACGGGACCACCACAGCAGCTACAGACATCACTTTTCCGTTTTCCGATTCGTTCCCAGACGCTCTTAGACGACAATGGGGCCTGTCGTTTTTCGAATTTCGGCGCACCACTACGTCAGTCACCGTAGCCACCGAATTAGCAGGCAAGTCTTAAAATAAAATTACATATACGGAGTCATTTAAGTTTTAAGTTCCAAAATTATGTAGAGACATCGACCAATCGTCGCCAATCCAAACGATTAAAAACTTTTGAACGTTATACCCGTCTATTTGGGTGCTCACCGTCAACAAATTGATTCATAGTTTTGACAACCGTTTGCGTGCTGCTTTTAAGAACGTCCATTTTCGGAACGGCGATCATTTTATCCTTGTTGACTGGTTGGACTATGTTAGGTTTACTGATTGAGGTCCGTAGCTGAAATTTTTGTAACCCGTTTTTTTTTCCGATGGTAGAAATTTTAACGATTTTCGTCGACGGTGACGGAAGAAATTTATTAGGTTTTTCAGAAACTTTAACTTCCGAATCCATTGCGTCTTTTTGTAGTAGTTTTGTATTATAATTCAGTAAAAGGCATACATAATAGTCAGTGATTTAGCCAGAGGGCTGAGGAGCTACAGCACCTTCCAAAATTGTATGAAAATTTAAAAACTACCTATATCCATGCGATGTGATTATTAATTACAACTTGTGTACGCTTTATTATGCCTACCTAATTGTGGACCGCCAGTTGTCACAATTGATACAAACTTTTCTTAAACATTGTAATTCAAACATTTTACTAGAAAAATAAAATAAAATAGCTACAAAACGAAAAAAATCAGACCATAGTGAAATGTTTACAAAAATAAATAAAGTATTAAATAAACTATGGAGTTAAATAGATTTACTAAGTACTTCCAATTATATTTTACAAATTATTGCCTAGTTTACTTGTTATTAGTACTTGTAACTCGCACTGATGCTTGTCACTCGCAATAAGACAACGAAATTACAAGTACAACACACCACTTAGTACCTTAAATAGTAATAATAAGTGATAACTTTATGGATTCTAAAATAGTATAAAGAAATTATGATGATTAATTATCACACCTGGCAGTCATACGTTGCGAGTGTAACCATAAGTAAAATAATGAAGGGGATAGTTACTTATCGTTAGTAAATATAACTCGGTTCTGTTTACTCGCACTATTTTAACTGTTTACATGGTAGGTATTAGTGCAAGGGACGAATACTACGCATCGTGTAAACCAGGCATATTAGTAAGTGCCTTAGTAATTTTTACCTACCAGTATCTAGAATTAAATTTTAATTTAATATTTATTTTAACATATCTTTATATTTTTATTTATGATACAAATAAGAATCAATAATGTATTTACGAACGTTACAAATTTCAGTTTAAAATATCTGGATTAATAAAATAAAACATTAATTTTTATCATAATCTAGTTAAAATTGTACACAACATTTTTACTGGGTTGATATTAATTTTAAAATTTTTAATTTTTTTCCCTTATGAAACCTAGGCTAAATTTTGTTACTTAAAATACTAAAGAATAATTAATAAAAAAATAATTTAAGTAACTAACAAACATTTTTAATTGTTTTATTTTATTACCTAGATAATTTATTCAAAATAAAATATACTTATGTACCTCTGAATTATGACCGTATGCTTTGTAATATGGTTGTATCAATAAAGAGAGCTGATACTGGGGATGGGAGCGGCCAATGTTGTTGGTGAAAAGTTGGGAAGGTAGGATACATAAGGTTATTTCATTTATATCTGTAAGCAACGATAAACTATTACTAACGAAAAACGATTCCGGGCGCAGTTCGGTAATACGTAATTTGAAGTGCCGTAATTTTTTTCAAGATTTAAATTTAATTTCAAAACGCTTAATAAAAAAAAAAAAAAAATTATCTGGTCCATTAAAAACAATATTAATAATTCAACAAAAAAGATCTCTTAATATTTTTCAAGTCGTCATTTGTGCTAGAAAACGTGGTAGGTACTTATTTAAAATAACAAAATCGTGAAAAAATCGTATTTTTTATTCGTTTTTATTTAAAATACTGTTTCAAAAATCAAAAAATGGCCTATGTATTTACCAAGTAGATGACATTGACTTTCAGAAAAAAAGCTACACTTATACGTCGAAGTAAGTTTTCTAGAATAATAACAGTGGTCTGCGGTATAAAAAATAAAATAATAAAGTACTATTGTAAACAAATTTAAAAAAGGAAAAAAAGCCGTCTGATGATTTCGGACATTTTACTACGTCTAGGTAAGTCTAATACAAGTATTATTTCTAAGTTTCAAATCTCTAAGTATATTTTTAATTGAAAAACAATAAAAAAAACTCCCAAAAATTAATATTCCTTAAAAGCTCAAAAATGGCTCAAAAGTTTTAACGATGATACCGTAAGAAATTAAATCAAAAATTCAACAAAGAAAGTGTCTTGTAATTTTTCGACTAAATCATTTTTCTGGTAGAAAACGTCATCCGTGTTTTATAAAATAATAAAATAGTGAAATCGTACGTTTTCCTACATTTTTTTCCCACATAAGTGCTTTTATTTAAAAAATGGCGTCAAAAATAAAAATATGACTTCTTTAAAGTACAATCTAAACAACTTAAACTTTCAGAAAAAATGCTACACTTATACATTGGGACAAATTTACTAGGAAAAAAGATGTCCACAGCCTAGAAGAAAATAAAAATAAAAAATAAACATCTTAATAAAACCAAACATCGCTCACTACGCTTTTAATCTAAAATCTAAATTGCTTGATTTCTTTTTTAATATTAAATGTAATAAGCTGCTTATTTGTTGCCTAATAAATCTCTTTATAATATAATTTGCACCACATATTCAATTTTTAATTATAATTCACGTTTATGTATTTATGGTTATTCTAAATGAAAAACTAAAATATAATGTTTTGTAATGTTTTACAAATTTTTAATAAAACTTTCTTCCAAACATTTTAATATTAAAAAATATATATAGCAACAAGCCACAATAATATTTAAATTTCTTTAACATATTTATTTTTAAATGTTGTATTAGACGAACTATGATCATTGATCCTATTATTATGTTAAGGGTAACTAATATACCAGCATAATATAGTACGTTATACATACAAATTTGTATTCGGGATAATATGATTAGGATCTTAAAAATGAAATAAAATCTCGATATCAATATTTTAAACTTATGGGAGATCCTAATCAAACCGACTATACGTAAAAAAATGATAAGCCCCCGCTTTAAAACAAAAATTCTGGCTAAACCACTGATAATGGCATACATTTAACATACATTATTAACGAAAAACCGTTATATAATTACGTACCGGAATTCGTGATCACACTTTTGGACATATTTTTCCTTGTGTACATATTTCTTAAAAAACTCTTCTTCCGACCTATAAATTTGTGTTTGGTTTAAAAACTTATTATAAACGTTTGAGTTTTTTTTTAAACGTAATTTAAAAATCTAAAATATTTGATAAATTATTATACGGATTGTTGCTAGGATATTTTGTGATTTCGTGATCACATTGTGATCACGTGAATTGTCCGTGAAAACTTAAACACGGTTGATAATTGGATATAATACAAATTAATATTATTTATACGTAGAATATTAAATTAATTGAACACAAAATTCGTAATTCGTACTTATTTGAATTTTAAGCCCAAGAATAGATATTCTTATATTACTGTGCATTATACGCCAAACACGCGTACTTATAAGCATAGCTGGTAATCAAAATTAAATCAGTTCAATGTCTTTACAATCATGTCACCACTATACGTTTTACGTTACACTAATGAGGTAGGTATTTACTTAATCGTAGTGTTATCTATACATAATGTCTGAATTAGTATTAATAATTTTAAAGATGATGAGGTGTAAAACGTGGGTTTATGTAAAGTTTAATTGCTCTCGAGTAGTGATAATTATTGGTAAATATATTCTCTCACACGAATCTCTGTTTTTCTACCCTATATTTGGTTTTTACAATTAATAATTAATCAATGATCGAATCGCAGAATAAATGGAATATTTCATTATTCGTATTAAAATAAAAAAATCATTAATTATAAATCGTATGCGTGAATTACGAATCTATTATGGAAGATAGCATTTAAGATTCTGAGTGTAAGGGGGGAATATATTGGTTTTACAACGATGTTTATTATCTTTGTACTATACTGTGAGCAACTTTTCTACAAGAAATCTTACTCCAAGGGATCAAGTAAATGAACTTTTTTGAAAGAAAATTTTATCGAGTTGGTACTTTCAAAAAGTCATTTTTTAAATTTTTCTTAATAATTGGAAAAACCAGGAAAAACGTAGGAAAAACAGAAAAATGTACGCAAATGAATAAAATAAACTTCTCTCCAAATCATTTTTCAATAGTTTATCGTTACGTACAGGTATAACCCAAGTTTCCCTCTATATCCTACCTCTCTAACTTTTTACCCATTGTGACCAGAGTGACCATTGTGTAAAATATGTCTGTTAACAACTTTTATATAATTGTATTCAATTGGTTTTACAGTAAGGTTTTATTTTTTTTACACTTTTTCTACCAGAAAGCTTACTCCGATGTTTGCGATGAAGACCTTTTTCTGAAAGGAAATTTTCTTAGGGTGGTACTTTAAGGAGGCATTTTCCGAACAGTTTTCTTAACAAAAGAGAAAAGTGAGAAAAAATGGTAAAATGTACGAAATATATTAGTAAAATATTATGATTTTTTTCTGTGGACAATTTTTCTACTATTAATTTTGCTCCGATTTAGAGTGATAGCACTTTTTCCAAAAGGAAACATCACTGAGGAGTACCTACTCTAAAGTACCTACTTTAGAGAGGTAATTTTTCGATTTTTCCTAAAAGTTTTCCTAGCAAATATAAAAAACAGGGAAAAAACACGAAAAAACCAGAAAAACTTAAAAAAACGGAATAATCAGTACAAAATTAAACAAATATTAGTAAAGGATTATAAATTTAAACATGAAATTATGCATACCAATATGAATATCGACTTCAATAAAACTTATAATAAATTGAAATTCGTTCCAAAGTACATCAATATACATATCAAATATATATCTAAAGCTGCAATTAAAGTCAAAAAAGGAGCAGAGACATTACGGCTGAACTCTGAAATAAAAATGTCTCAAGCAAAAAACATGTAATAGTAGGAGAGATTAATTATTTATAAATAGTTTTATCCTAAAATTTAAACCACTTACCGATTTTACACACTAAAAATCACATCCAACAAAAATTACTACATAAGAAAAACGAGAAATGGCGTAGGATTAATGATAAAATTAATATTTTCATATATATAGTCCATATATAAAAACATATTATAAATATGTTGACGACACGTCCATTTTATTTAGAGGTTGAAATAGACAAGCAGAATATTTACTTAACTACTTAAACAAAATAAATAAAAACATTCAATTTTTACTCGAAATACAAATGAATAATAAATT